CCCTTACTCCATTTCTGCCTATAATAATAATTCATTTGTAAATCCAGGACACGAACTGCATTTTCATATTTCTTTTTCTTTTTTTTTTTTTGGTGGCAGGTCTATAGCTTGGTATTCATTTGCATATTTAAATAGATTACTGTCATGTAGTATCTGTAGTAACTGTTAATTTAGGATGAAAATTATTACTTTTCATCACTTTTGTTTATAAAAGTATCACAATAAATATGTAATTTTGGATATGTGGCTTTTGGTAAATGGATGGAAAGTTTTCTTTTCTGGTTATTGAAATTTTACTGTCCTGTCAAATCAAAAGCACTGTAAGTTGAATGAATGAATCTGTTCAAAAACTTGCAACCGTATTTTAGGGCTAGCTTAATATAATGCCACTATAAGATATAAAATGCCTTTGCTTGATTGCCTCCCTCCTTTTGGTTAACTAAAAACAAGTTTACTCGAGAGTTGTAATGTATATTTCAAAGTCACAGGCCATTATTGTCATGTTATTAAGCTCTTATAAAGGAGATTCCAAACTATTAAAGGTTTTGTGAGTTTATGAATTTCATTGAAAACATACGCTGAAGCAGTAGGTTAAAAAGGCATTCAAGGCTCATACTGACATTTTACTTTTCAAACCTTTGAGTCACACTCCTGGTATGTTCAAACTTTTACAATGACAAATCTCAAGATTTTACTTCATTTTTTTTTTTAAAAAAAGATAGCCATAGCCTGTTTCAATGAAATGACAATAAAGTGAAAGTACTAAGAAAATAAACTTTATTATTGTTCTTTAAGGACTGGCATGTATGTGCACTTCTTAGCCAAATAAACATTTCATTATAAACATTTGGTCAGTTTATGCACCAGAATCTATCAGAACAGGATTAACAGGGACTGTCGCCATCTCTGTTGACAATACATTGATCTCACATTAATTTGATTGAAGGTGGCTTGCCAACACATCTCACTTTCTCCATTTGAGAGCACTCAGATAAGAAAAATACAGTGATGTTTAGCAGATAGGCCTGGTGACACAATAGAATGCAACTCATTGAAGAAGTGTAATTATAGTGATTACTTCAGAAAAGAAAGCACATACACTGATGGGAAGAAGTAAACATTGCCACAATTACAGGAGCCCGGGTTCCTTTTGGTATAGATAGAGGTATACTAGACAACACCAACCTAGCAATAAGACCACAGAAAGCTTTCCAACTTAACAACATAAAAGCACTGAAGGTTGCGGAATGGCATAAGCCAATTTCCCAAAGTGCTGGAACAAAGGCCCCCACTGTTTTGGGTGAATTCAATATACCAAATAGATTAGTCAGAGAAGTCCTCCTTCCAAAATTAAAACTAGGTACAAACATCCGGAAAGTTTTCCCCAGAGGAATGTAATCCGCAAATGCTTTTTAAAGCTGTTATTTTAATGGCTCTGAAAAACAAACAATGTGGGGTGTCTAGTTCTCTCAGGTAACAGTCCCATGAGAAGTTGTAGAGGCAGGGAGTGCTCACCTCTGCTATTAATTAGGAATATAAAATCTACTGTCATCAAAGCACTCAAGAATTTTATTATAATATGGCAAAAGCAGGGGAAAGTCTCACCTCTCACCAGTTCACTAGATTAGAGATACAAACAGAAAGAAAAACAGAGTTTGAAATGGGCTCCAGAGCTCACCACACATATCCTTTGACTGCCATTCATGAAGAAACAGAGATGCCAAGAGGTTTATAACCTTGTCTTGGATTGCACAGCAAGTTAGTTAAAGGTCAGGCAGGACTAGAACCTAAGGCTCCTGTCTCCCAGTTCTGTGTTTTTCTACCATGATCTGATTATTTTTCAGTTATGAAACTTGATAAAATAAGAGGAAAAACCATTCATATAAATTTGTACTATAAAAGTTATAAAATACTACAAAAACATTTGAATCGTCTGATTTGATTGTTGTCAGCTCTCTGTGAGGAAGGCAGAAATATTTTTATGTAGGCTGGGCGTGGGGCCTCATGCCTAAAATCCTAGCACGCTGGGAGGTCAAGGCAGGTGCTTGAGCTCAGGAGTTCAATACTAGCCTGAGCAAGAGTGAGACCCCGTCTCTACTAAAAATAGAAAAAAATTAGCCAGGCAACTAAAAATAAAAAAAAATTAGTCATGCCTATAATCCCAGCTACTCAGGAGGCTGAAGCAGGAGGATCGCTTGAGCCCAGAAGTTTGAGGTTGCTGTGAACTAGGGTGATGCCAACACTCTAGAATCCAGCCTGGGCAACAGAGCAAGATTGTGTCTCAAAAAAAAAAAAAAAAATTATGTCAAATGTCTATCTGTATGTGTATGTACCTATATATATAGATATATTTTTTAAAAAGGCAAAGTGAAAGACATGCAGAGAGACACGCAAAGACTAAGAGAGAGAGAGAAATCATGTGGGAGCTTCAGAGACAGTGGATAGGACACAAGGAGGTGTGATAGAGTAATGGGTACAAAAGTCAATGAAAAAGTAGCAAAGAGAGACACAGATGGACAGAGAGACTCCCAGACAGACATACAGACAGACCCAGCCACACACAAGCAGACAGAAGGAAAGACAGAGACAGTGAGGCCTTAAATGATTTATCCAAGGTCAAAGAGCCAATACTTGTCAAAGCTGCACCACAAAGCCAATATTGAAATCCAAATCCCTCTGCTCCTTCCACAGACTATAAGGAAGGTTCCAGACCATCACAAGCAGAGCAGAGTTAAAGCAGAGTACAACTCTTTAATTTTGCCTTTAGCTGTTATTCTTTTTGGAAGGCCTCCCTCCCCCCTTGGCAGAGAAGTCTGATTAGAATGGAATGGGTAGAATCTCCTTAATAGAATCAAAGCAATGGCTATTGTCTAAATGATTGTAAGAGTCACTTCTCTTTTTAAACCATTAGCTAAGTCCTGCCCCGGGAAATAAAATATCAAGAGAAACACATCTTTTTCCTGTCGTTAGGGATTTAATGATTTTTAGAGCTTGGGGTTCTTATCCTGGGATTCTTAACCTGGGATTCATGGAAGCATCTGGCAATGCCTGTAAAACCCCTTAATATTGTATATAAAATTCAGGCCATAAGTGCATTTTTCTAGAAAGATTCTCAGAGGCCTTTGACTGAGGAATATTGAGCCACTGCTTTATAATAGAAGTTTGTGAAAGGATTGACAATGTATACATTTTTTGGTATGACAAAAATTAACTATCCGAATAATTTGGACAAAATGAATCACTCAATTTAGAAAACCAAAAGCAATCAATCTTTAGTGCCACCATACCCTAAACACTTTTGTTTTAATTACAAAATGTTTTCTCATTTTTTTCACTCCAGTCAGTTTTCGTTCGCAATTCTATTTATGAAAAGGATGTGAGAAGGTGAATTTCATCTCAAAAGAATCATGGCCTAATTTATAACTTAATTAAAGTCTGGGGTGGTTTGCTCATAACACCAAATTGATAGACTTTTAAAAAGCAAATCCTATGTTAAAAATATACTGTATTTAATTCAAGTCTATTCTTGACGAGCTACTCTACTCATCAACATTAAAACAAACTGTATTTTGAAGCTAGACTAGGGACAATCATCTCATATGTTGAAACGTATAAAATTTCCAGAGTTCTCTGCTTCCAAATTAAAGCAGATTTATAAAAAGAACTCTCCTATACCATGAACATACAACACTACCAGGGTCATGGGGATAGTTCAGGGACAAAGAGTCGGAAAGCTACTATAGTGGTAACTAGTTTCCAAAATGGTCTCCAATGAGCCACACTCCCCCGGGCTTTTTTTAGTTCCCTCCTACAGTGAGTGTAGTCAGACCCAGTCACTCCCCTTCCCTAATAGAACACAGGGAAAGACACACTGAGCCACCTCTAGAGGTAAACTTCCAAAAACTTTCAAAAGCCTCTCATTTTCTGCTTTTGGTGGCCTGATCTTTAAAGTAAGAAGTCTGCCACTCCACTGCAGAGGACACACGGAGAAGCCCCACGGGACAGAAGGAAGCCCTGACGTTAATGCAAGAGAGTCCTGGCTGGCTGTGCTGTGTCCTGGCTGTTCCATGTCCCAGCGGAGCTCAGCCTTCCACCAGTCCCACCAAGGTACCAACGTTTCAGTGACCACACTGGACATTCAGCACATATGTCCCATCATGACTGAAGCCCCAGCCAACATCATCTTGATCTTGAAAAATTGCTCATGTGTACCCAGTCAAGGCACATAATCATGACAAATAATAGATTGTTACTGTTTTAAGCTACTAAGTTTTGGGATGTTTTGGTGAGCAGCAATAGACAACCAAAATGGAAGCCAAGGGTAAAATGGCATGAATAGTGAGTTTACAAAAGGGAATTTAGAAGATGATAAAGTGTAAGTAACTGAAGCTTATCTCTGTTGAGTATGAGAGGAAAACATTTATTAAGTACTAATTCACCCATCACTTATCTCATTGAGTAAGATTACTGCCAAAACTCATCTAGCTAAGAAAGTGGAAGAGCCACATTTGAAGACAGATGAGATTTCACAGCCTAGATGTACTCATCCCATTGTATTGGCCAGGCTGGGAGGTGGCAAGGAAGGAAGGAGGAAGCCTGACTCACAGAGAATGGCTTGACATTTAATTATTTGTGATGAAAATCTTTGTTAATCATACTCATACTTTTTTTTTTTTTTTTGAGACAGAGTCTCGCTCTGTCACCCTGGCTAGAGTGCAGTGGTGCATACTCATATTTTTAAAAATAGAATATATGCAGCATTACTTAACCTGTTTTAATGACTAATCATCATTATTCCTGAACCTGTATTGAACTGTAATGTGCTATAATATAATGATATACTCAGGAACAATACGAGATGTGAGGTTACTTGATTCTATATTCAATGATCCTAAATGCTACATATATATAGCATATAAATAATATATCACCATATATATTTTAATTCCTCTTTCTGACTGTCACATATTTTTTTGTTGTTGTTTCTTTCTTATTGTTAGACTGTGTCCTGTGTCTACTAGATATGGAAAACTAGACAAACAAGCTTGGTGAACTTTGTGGAAGAGAAGATGGCTTCTAAGTGAGAAATTGCAGGGCTTTCTATGAATAAAGTGCACAAGTTCTAGTACATGTGCCTTCTAACATAAAATTTGGTGTTTGGGTCGCTAACAAAGCCAGATAAGTAAATTCTAGATGAGAAATTAAAATGTGGTAAATATATACATGGTGGAATATTACTCAGCCTTAAAAAAGAATGAAATCTTGTCATTTGCAGCAACATGGATGGAAATGGAGAACACTATGTTAAGTGAAATAAGCCAAGCACAAAAAGACAAATCTCACATGTTCTCACTCATAAGTGGGAGCTAAATATTAAAAACAATTGATCTCTGGGAGGCCGAGGCAGGCCGAATGCTTGAGGTCAGGAGTTCGAAAGCAGCTCTGAGCAAGAGCGAGACCCCGTCTCTACTATAAATAGAAAGAAATTAATTGGCCAACTAATATATATAGAAAAAATTAGTCGGGCATGGTGGCGCATGCCTGTAGTCCCAGCTACTCGGGAGGCTGAGGCAGAAGGATTGCTTGAGCCCAGGAGTTTGAGGTTGCTGTGAGCTAGGCTGATGCCACGGCACTCACTCTAGCTTGGGCAACAAAACAAGACTCTGTCTCAAAAAAAAACAAAACAATTGATCTCATGGAGACATAGAGTAGAATGATGGTTACTAGAGGTGGGATGGGGAGGGAAGAGGGGTAAAGTGAATTTAAAAAAGGATATAAATGTATTTATTACCACTAAATTATATACTTAAAAATGGTAATGAGGCCAGGTGCGGTGGCTCACCCCTGTAATCCTAGCACTCTAGGAGGCCGAGGTGGGAGGATTGCTCGAGGTCAGGAGTTCGAGACCAGCCTGAGCAAGAGTGAGACCCGTCTCTACTAAAAAAACCCAGAAATTAACCAGACAATTAAAATATATACATATAGAAAAATTTAGCCGGGCATGGTGGCTCATGCCTGTAGTCCCAGCTACTCAGGAGGCTGAGGCAGGAGGATTGCTTGAGCCCAGGAGTTTGAGGTTGCTGTGAGCCTAGACTGATGCCATGGCACTCTAGGTCAGGCAACAGAGTGAGACTCTGTCTCAAAAAAAAAAAAAATGGTAATGATAGTAAATTATACATATATTTGACCTCAACTAAAAACTAAATACAAACATACATAACTAAAGCTGCATGTAGAATGTAGTGAGGTGAATATACTTTAATTTTTTTAAAAAAGTATGATTTTGTAAAGGAGCTAAATAAATAGTTTCTGCTCTAATGAGCTCTAAGTCCTGAGGTCAGCTTGATGATTTTTAAACTGGGCTCAGTGGGGACCCAGTGCTCTTTACCAACCCAACAAAAAACATTGTGTGGATACTGCAATTAAGTATTTCTGGCAAATATTAAAGGCTTAAAACTATCCTTTCATTGCTTTTATACATTTTATAGTTTGGGATTCTGAGTTTGCTTTAGCTTGAAAACAAAAACTTCTACTGTTCAAATACTTTGTGTTTGAGGAGGGGAGATGGAGTTGTGGGATTGTCTGGCAAATGTACCTTAAATACTTTGCCAGTTTTTATGTTCTATATGCAATAAGAAATGTAATGCTTTCAAAAATGAGAGCTAACCTTTACTAAAGCAAGTTCACATTGTTGATACTCTGCTGGTGGCCACTGTATGACTCAAATAGCACCAATATTGGCAGTGCCACTAAGCTCAATTCATTCTGTTTGGGAGATAAAAGACATCTGATAGCAAGTCATTACATTGTAGGCAAACATATTTATGATGTACAACACTAGACCATGTCATTGTTAGCATCAAGACATTTAGCAGATGAGGGCAGCCCAGGAAGTTTCTAAAATGCCCATTTTAAAGGACTTAATTTAAGCAAAACTCATACCTAGTATAATTGCTTCTTTCAAAGTGAACTTAGGATATTCATTGATCAAAATGTATACAGCTTTTTTAAGGACATCCACAATTACTGTTGTCAAACCCCCAGTTAGACAGTTCAAATTGCTTAAAACTTTGGTAATGACTACTTGGAAATGTTTGAATGAAGGTCATCTGCCCCTCCATTCATAGCTCATATGGCGCCTTTTGTACACATAGCTTGGGGTCCTTTACAAAGAACACTAATCAAGACACAAAATAACACTGTAGCAAATAATCTTGTCACAAATTCCATTACACAGTAAAAGCTAAATAAAAAATAACAGCTTTTCTGACTATATTAAAAATTTAGATCACTTAGTGTCAGGCAATTTAGAGAAGAGAATTCCACAAAAGAGAGTAAGGTGACAGGAATATATCCATTAACTAACTCACACACGTACTTTGACCAAATAAAAATGTTAAGAATGAATTTAGAAAATTGGTACTCAACTTAGCAATAGGATTTTTCTACATAGTTTTAATATAGCTAATCAAAGATTTAGATAAATTACTCTAAAGTTACTTATGAGCAAATATTTTCACCCAAATTCAGGCAATAATATAATATCTCAATTTAAACATTTATACAGTCAAATTTCTTGCTTAGGTTAATTAGCATCTGTTCTGTTAAAGACGTTCATGTAATTTTGCTTGTTAAAAGAAATGAAGTGTGAATTATTCCCACTCCCATCTCTGGGGCCTCACAAACATACCTTGAACTTCCATAATCCTATAATCCATAATTTCTCAAAAATTTCTGTAGCTACTGAGTAATTTTCACTGGTTTCAAAAAAAAAAAATACCCTCAGTTCTAATTATCATTTTTGTTTTATAGGTTTAAAAAAAACCTACAAATTGGAAGAAATGTGTGATTTTTAGCAAAACACATACTTACTGCATGTAGGAATTGAGCAATTACTATAGTGACAGAAAAACTAGTTTGCCTTAGACCTAAATATTTTCATCTATTCTTTTTCCTTTGGCTCATTCCTTTTATTAGTCTGTCATATGTAACTCATATGTATTAACTTGAGAAATTCTTGGAAAAATTGTACCTGGCTCATGGTAAGCTTAATAAATATTGGATGATTACATACATAAATGACTCTGAAGAACTCATAAAGACCTCAATTCATTCAAGCTGCACGTCCTCCAACTTGCCCTCTTAACATACACATACCAACCTAGTTTTAATAAATATACATGACCTATCCTATCATATTGTCTTTTGAAAATTTTAAAGTGGTGACCACTAACTGAAAATAGTAGATTTCTATGTTGACTCAGTCCCATTCTTTCATTCATTCAGTATTTAAAGTTTGTTGTATACATGTAGTACATAGCATAATAGTGTTAATAGTAGATAATAGTGATAATAGTAAAGGGACAACATCTGGAACCAGACCTCCTGAGATCGATTTTTAACCCTACTACTTATTAATCCTATGACCTCTGGCAATATAATTCACCTCTTTAGACCCCAGCTTTCTCATTTGTACAGCAGTACTTACCTCGTAGAATTGTTGTGAAGAATAAATGAGCTCATATGTGTAGTATGCTTAAAACAATGACTGGCACATAATAAGCATTCAATAAATATTAACTCTTTCTATCACATTCCAGGCTGTGTGCTAGGTACCAGGAATGCAGTGGCAAATAAGAATAGGCACAGCCCTACCCTTGCTACACATTCAGTCTAGTTCTTGAGCTTTATGCACTATTTCTTTCTATTAAAATATATTATAAACTTATTGCCAGATAATGAAAAAACCTTAACATGCAAAAAAAAATTTTTTAAGTATTTTAGAAATTGCTATAGTTTGGATATTGGTCCCCCTCAAATCTTATGTTGAAATTTGATCCCCAGTGTTGGAGGTGGGGCCTAATGGGAAGTGTTTGAGTCATGGGGGCAGATCGCTGGTGAATGGCTTGGTGTCTTCCTCTCAGTAATGAGTTCTGGCTCTATTATTTCCCAAGAGGGCTGGTTGTTAAAAAGAGCCTGGCACCTCCCCCAACCCTTGCTTCCTCTCTGGCCATGTAATCTCTGCTCAGCCAGCTCTCCTCCCCTTCCCTTTTCCCCATGAGTGGAAGCAGCCAGAGGCTCTCACCAAATGCAGATACTGGCACCATGCTTCTTGTATAGCCTGCAGAACCATGAGCCAAATAAAACTCTTTTCTTTATATATTACCTAGCCTTAGGTATTCCTTTATAGCAACACAAATAGACTTAGACATCAAAATGGAGGCAAAATTGTGCTCTATTTAAAGTTTCATATATCATTAATTCTGTTAAGGGTAAAGTCATATGACAATGACATTATCAATTTTTTCCAGAACCAAATTATGGTTTCAGTTTATTTTGTGATTTATTGATTACTTTAAGGCATTAGTATTAATATTTTAAAATATCATTGCTAATGTATCATATCAGAAAGTTATCTATTTTAAGTATGTGATTTTAAAATATTTATGGGATCTTAATCTACTTGAGGCAAGCCCATTCTTTTGTCAATGAATCTCTATTTGTAAGATGGAAGTCCATGCTAACAAACAAAAAAAGATTTTGTGCAACAGAGATTTAATTTATAGGAAGGTTTTTTGTTTGTTTGCTTTGCTTTGTTTTGCTTTTTACTTTTCATTTTAGGGATATTTTTAGAGACACTTTTTAAATTTTTCTCTTAATTTACAAATAACAGAAAGGCAATAGGATTTTTTTTAAGGCCTACATCTAATATCATCTAAATAGTTTCTGGCTGGACTTAACTTTGCATACATGTTTTGCTAAATTAGACCAAAGCACTACTAAGAAGAATCTAAAAACTATAGTATCCATAGATTTCATTTTTAATGCATGCGAGTCTTGCTTAGCCTATGAATAATTTTGAGGATTTAAAGGGAGGAGGAAAATAGGAGCTTTCCTATATAATTTCATTAACTGTTGTTTTTATCCCCCCCAATTCCTATCATTGATTTCATTCCATTTCTAGAACTATCAGAGAGGTTACTTTACTGAACCCTGGGTAAGGGTTGTGCAATATTTCATATACTGCGTAATTATTTGTATTTCAAAAGAGATATATTAGAATAATCAAAAGCACTTGTTAAATTGTAATTGTTTATAGGCAAGAAACTCATGCTATTTGCCTTTAATTTTGGTACATTACCTGACACCAACTGAGTTAAGAAAAGATACATTATTGATGAAGATGTTCACATACTAATCAGGATTTCACTCATTTTCAAGAGCATCAATGCAGGACTCTACATAACTATTTGTT